TAAGAAGATTGACACGAAAGCTCAAGATCAGCAGGCGACACTGTTTTGATGGTCCCCTGGCTTTTGGGTGGCGCTGTCAAAGGTCGGCACGGAGCTTAGACCACACCGATTACGTGGGGGTCTGGCGCAGAAAACTCCAACTGAGCTCCTAAAATTTCGAGGCCAGGGGTTGAGAGTGTCTGTCGGTCCTTCATCAACAAGCTTCAGGCCCAGCGTCGACTCCTTTGCGATCGCCCACAATGTCGTCGCGAATGCTGGCATCGCTGTGCCCCAAGTGTCATTTGACATTGCGACCGCAGTCTTTCCCGCGCTTAACGACTTCGCCATGGTATACACAAAGCGCCGGCTTCCGCTCAGCCACCAAGGGGAAGCCATCACGCATGGTCCTTTCAGACGATGTTGCACGACCCCGAAACCGAGATGCCAGACCGCCACGACGACAAGTTGAAGGACCTTTTGGTGGTATGAACCAGACCTTTGCGAGAGTACCCGAAAAGCGCACGATACGTCCACCCAACGCGAGGGAATCGAGGGACGGGAGAGGCTCTTCAAACAGGTACAACAGAGGCGATTCCCAGACTTCTTCCGATCCGAGAAAGGCTTTGAAGATGCAACGGTCTCTGGCGGGGGTCTCATACGGAAAGAGAAATGTTTTGAAAGACAAAATGCAAGAATACGAATCATTCGACCAATTCAACCTCCTACCCATAATGAAGGACGGCATCAAGGACGACCTTCTGCGAGGAATGGTGGAAATCAAGCCAACGCCCATCCAGAGGCTTGCTATTCCAGCCATGCTGGGACAGGCTAGCGCCTTCAAAGTCCGAGGCGAGAAGAGGCAAGACTTTCTACTTGCTGCCGAGACTGGTTCTGGCAAGACGTTGGCGTACATGCTGCCGGCCGTCAACGCCATGAAGATCGCCGAGGAAGCCAACCCTGAGATCCAGTCCTTCATGAAGCGCTTCCAGGAGGAGAAGGAAAGAGAACAGAAGGCCAACAAGGGCCCCAAGTCCAAGAAGATGTCTGCATTCGATGAGCCTCACCCGACCATGGCTAGACCTCGCATCATCGTGCTGGTCCCTTCTGCAGAGCTCGTGGAACAGGTTGGAAAGGTGGCCAAAACCCTGTCGCATGCTGTCAAGTTCAAGGCAGAGATTCTCTCTGCAAATCTCAAGGCTCTGACGATCCAGCGCAATCTGTACTCGCCGCGTGGTGTCGACATGGTTGTCACGACGCCTCACCTGCTAGCCTCGATCGCCGAGTCCGATCCCAATGTCCTCTCTCAAGTCACCCATCTCATTGTCGACGAGGCGGACTCGCTCTTTGACCGAAGCTTTGCCCCCGTTACCACGACCATCATCGATAGGGCGATGCCGTCCTTGAAGCAATTTATACTCTGCTCAGCAACAATACCCAAACGGCTGGACAATTATCTCGCCAACAACTTCCCCAATATGACGAGAATCACAACGCCGAACCTTCATGCTATCCCAAGAAGAGTTCAACTCGGTGTCATTGACGTTGTCAAGGACCCTTACCGCAACAACAAGAACCTGGCCTGCGCTGATGCCATCTACACTATTGGTCGAGAAGCCTCCAAGCACGAGGGCCCGATCCAAGGTGAAATCGACGTCCGCCGGATTATGGTGTTTGTCAACGAACGCGAGAAGACAACGGAGGTTGCTGAATACCTTCAATCCAAGGGCATCGACGCTATTGCGTTGAACCGGGACGCAGCCGAGAGCCGCCAGTCCGAAATGCTGAAAGCCTTCACTTCCTCAGAACCCCTGCGCGCAGTATCATCGCCAGAGGCCCCCGTGCCAGGCAAACGGTCGCTGCCCAACACCAAGGTCATTGTTGCCACCGACTTGGCCTCTAGAGGTATTGACACGTTGGCTGTCCGCCACGTTATTCTTTACGACGTCCCGCACACTACCATCGACTTTATCCATCGCTTAGGAAGAGCGGGTCGCATGGGACGACGTGGAAGAGGCATTGTGCTTGTTGGCAAGGATGACAAGAAGGACGTCGTTGCCGAGGTTAAGGAGAGCATGTTCATGGGTCAGGCACTTATCTAGTGACCACTCAGGATACGGACAAAGAGAAACAATGTACAACAATCATGTAAAACACCTTGTATATGACTAAAAAAAAATAGATAGAGTCGAGGGAAAGGGATGGGATGATGCACAGATACCTGGGATACATTCGGCTCAGGAGACATGATGGCGAAGAGCGAGGTCTCAGCTCCCTAATGAAACATTTTCTACCAACCAATAGACCAAGCGATTACTAGCAACACGTCCTTTCGATAAACTTCAGACAACGTCATGCATAATGAACTGTGAGTCTGTGACAGCTTGTTGACAGTTTCTCCAAGTCAAATTGTGGCTAGTGGTGTGGCGCTAGCTCTCTGCTTTCAATTTGGGAGTGGGTCGCGAGCTGGGCCCTGCAAGGTTGGAGTTCGCGACGCGTCCGGCCTGCAGGCGTTTCCCTTCCCACACCACATCAAAATATCACAGACCCTCCCCCGTCTTATCACTATAGGTCGCAGCCTGACGCCCCGGTCAGATATTCGTACCACAATTCTTCACGACACCTTTACATAGTATTGAATAGCTGTCACCCAAGGCATTCTGCAGTTTCCATTAACATCGAGTGCCCGCCATGCCACGACCTAAACGAGCGCGTCGCGCACCAACCCAGCCAGTCGCAGCTGTGCCCGCCGCGCCTGAAGCAAGATCGAGCCCCGCGCCCGCGTCAGGCAGCGATATCTACAGCCACAGCGATCGCGAACATTCTGTCATTAGGAAGGAGCTTGCAGAGGAGGACACATCTCTTTTCAAAGAAGGTCCGTCTACGCGTCTAAGCAGGAGTTCCAGCTTGCGCCAGAGGCAGGTGCCAGACAAGGCGGGTCATGCGTTGGACGACAATGTGAGCAAGCTGGAGGATGCAGTCGAAACGGTGGCTTCCAAGACAAAGACATCTAGCGAACAGCAAAAGTCGGATTCGTCGGTCGAAGTGGGACGGAAGACACGCGCAACGCCAGTTCAGCAGCGCAGGGACACGACGGGGTTGGATTTGGACGACGAGATGTTTACGGGACTTGACACGACTCTCGGCGATGACGACGATGATGCCGCTGCGCCTCCAAGTGCGCCGCGATCCGAAACCTCAAATTTCAGTGTGAGCCACTTTAGACGGAGGGGTCGCGCGCCGAGTATCAGTATCAACAAGGACGATGCGCCCATTAGACCAAGCAGTCGTGGAGTCGGGGGCACACCTAGTATCAGCTCGACCTTCAACATTGGTCTGTTTAAACGCCGCCAGCGAGAACCAAGTATTCTGGGGACGGCGCAGAAGGAGCGCGCACAGAGGCCGATTGAGGTATCGTCCGGATCCGAGTCCGATGATGAGGATGGTGAAGATTTTGAGCCCGAGGCCGAGTCGACGCCTCTTCAGAATCGCCGCAGAACGCAGCCTGCTCCCGCAACTGAGCTCGAGTCAGAGTCGCAGCAGGTTCTGGCGCCGGATTCTCAACCCGCCGAAAAAGACGCTGAGCCAACAAGCGCCAGCTCACGGAAGCGGAAGAGCATAGAGAGCCACGAGGACACCGAGCGTCCGGGGAAGGCGTCAAGGACTGAATCCGAGCCCGCGCCTGAGTTGGATGACGATGACGACAGCGATTCAGAGCTCTCCGAGCTGCCTTCTCCTGTTCTGACTCCCACGAGACCTTCTGCGTTCCCGCGGCCAGTTACTCCGAATCAAGAAGACATCATGGCACCTCCTGAGAGCAGTGATTCGGAAGATAATAACGAGGCGTGGCCCGACATTCGTACACTTGCAAAACAGCGCCGCCGCCAAGCGCCTACCACACCAACGCGAGATGGCAACATCTCCGATGCTTCCTCGCCGCCTTCGCTGACCCACTCGCCCAACTTCCCAGCAACAAGGAATAAGTCCAAGCAGAAGAAGCAGGCCAAGGCGCCCAAGGTTACGACGGCGGATTTGACAGGCATGCTGCCGCGCAGACGCTCCAAGAAGAATCGGGACCCTTATAGCGTGGGTGGCTCTGAGGATGAGGAGGCACGCAACTCCGACGCGTCTCAGGATGACGACGAGCTCTCATACGCGGATACGAGGACTCGCTCACGGCGGGCGAAGACAACACCTCTCAACCGTAGCACGGCAAATAGGCCACCATCCCGTGGTGGCCGCGCCACTGCGGCGGCAGGGAAGGCGAAAACAGCGGCACCTAGCACTCGTGCGTCAACACGCACTTACAGCCGCAGACTCTCGGACAAGGAGAATGAGGGCGAGGGCGAAGTTGGGGGTGAAGCAGAGGCAGAGGCGGAGACTGGAGCGGAACCCGAAGCGGGATTCGAGGGTGACAGCTTTGCCCCGATTCGGGACGACGTTCTCGAGAGCCAGGAGAGCAGCGACCCAACGCGCAGTGCCGACGAGCTGAAGAAGGCAACGCGCAAATTTAGGGAAGTTGACCGCTGGCAGCTCGAATTTGAAGAAATGACGGAGGGATCATCGCCCAACCGAGATGCACGGTAGAAAGAGAGAGGAGGGCAAGATTGTCTTTGATACTGACGGATTACTGGCTTGGTGAACAAAATGGAGGGCACGGTGTTTATGAGGGACAGGGTGGGAGTTTTTTGCGCGAATTCTATGTTCATGAAGCCGTCAAATACCTGTACGGACTGGGTTGGGAGGGCTTCCTCCGCGGTTTAGCTGATGTTGAGCTCTAGCGTATACGCTGCGTTGTTACCATGCCTTGTTGACAGTATGTCGTCGATGCGGTTCATAATTCACGGCTCGCCAAGAGAGACTGCAGTCAAGTGACACAAACGGAGCTTAATTCACTTTCTTCACAAGAAGTGGTCATTTGATTTTCTCGAGGCAAATGTGATATACCTACAATGTCGTGAAACTTTTCCCTGGTTCGTCCGAAACGCCTTTCGTTAACCCATAACGCCAGCCATCCCCCTTGCGAGGAGGAATATTCCAGTGAAGCAATACGCGAGGGACTGAGAAGTCTGTGTTCATTTCTTGAGGAATACACTCTGTACCGTCTGCTCCACAGTCGGCAGCAGGTTGTAGAGCAGGTTCGGGTCACGCAGCGCGATGACAATGTCATCTGGCAACCTGCCCTCCATGAAGAGTGACTTTACGGGGTTGTTCGTTAGCATTGCAGGTTCCAAGTCGAGGAGATTGCATAGCATGGCCTCTAACATAACAGAGAGAACAAGAAAGAAGGAGGAATAGGGAAGAAAAAGAAACTCACCCGCTTGACGCTGTCAAAGCTATCCTCCTTGGCCGTGTACTCCCGAATGACCTCGTCCGTCTCAAAGTCGACGTACACCCTCGTGTCCCGTATCCGCACGATGACATTGTCGAGGCGCATGAAGAGCCTGCACAGCAGCAGCATGCGCTTCTCGTGCACGCGGACTTTCACGCTGACAATCGAGATGCCGTTGTCGTCGAGCTCGCTCTCGAAGAGCACCACGTCGTCGAAGAAGAGGATCGGGTCGCGGCGCTTGAGGAGCTCGAGGGGGATCATCCTCGTCGTCGTCTCCTCGAGCTTGTTCTTGTTCTCCTGCGCTTCCTGCTGCTGCGCACCCGCCGCGCTCCCTGTCGGCTCCTCCAGCGTCCCCCGGTACTCGGTCGAGTAGGACCAGTCGTACGGCTTCACGACCTCCTTTATGCCCGCGCTCGTCTTCTCGCGCGAGGAGGACCAGTCGCGCGCGTAGGCGACCTGCAGCATCTTCTTGTCCGTCTTGTCGACGGCGTCGAGCGCGTCGTAGGCGTTGAAGGTGATGGACCAGCCCGTCGGCACGTGGGACACGGAGACGAGGTTGTCGCCAAAGATCATTTCGGGGACGGGGATGCCGAGGGAGGCCGTCATGTCGTCGATGGGGCCGGCTTTGGAGATGGGGAGCTTGCGGGAGGCGACGCGGAAGTTGCGCTGGGTGTGGGTTGTCGTTGCGGCGGCGAGGGCGGAGGGGGTTGGGAAGGGTTCGTTCGGGTTGGTTATGTGGTTCATCTTGGGCGACTTGTTTCTCTTCTTATCCTTTTCTGTTGTTGAGTGTGTTCAGTTTGGAAGGAGGCTTGAGGAGTTCGCGCGCAGGCGGGTGTTGGTAGTGCGGATGAACGAAGAACTTCGCGGGAGGTTGAGGGTTGGAGGTGGTGCAGCTCGGATCGGAGGTAAAGTTGCTGGCTTGCAGTTGGAGCTCTAGTACAGTTGGGGGAGGAGAGAGGTGGTGATGGTGGGGTTGGCGGGGAACACCAAGGAGTCTCGGGACCCGGATCCCTGCTTGTCTCGGTGAGGGTGAGGGGCCAGACGTCACTCGTTGCTCACCGACTTACACCGAGGCCGATTCAATATAAATCGACTTATTCAAAAATACAAAAGAGTTCACCCCCCCGGTGCCGACTGGGGGCTACATCTCTTGGTGCTCATGCTGGGATTCGAACCCGGGTACTCGCTAAGCCTGTCGTCGAGTAGGCTGGTTGGTGTAGAAATTGATTGTTGACCATGAACCATTCCACCACCCACGCCACAGTTTGACCTGACCCCCGACCTAGAGGGCGCCTGCTGTGCTGGTGACGGGAATGGAGTTGAGGGGGTATATGAGGCCTTCTCATGATCGGATGAGATCCGGGTACGTATCTCCACTATCTATGGACGCGAGCAACCCTTGGAGCTTTTGGCCAAGCTGTACCACCTTTACCGTGAACCTTCCCATGAGTCAACGCCCGGCGGGATACCCAAGACCTAGATGTAGTTTCCTTGGTAGTTTCAGTGAATGTATGATATGTTCTATACGTTGGATAGAAATCCAAGGCGGAATTTGAGAAAGGAGACCTCACCTGTTTTGCCGATATCCCTCGTTAGCCCGAATTACAACAACAAATGTGAAATCCAGAATGTTTCATTGACCGATAAGCCATCAAGATTTCTTTCCGCAGTCATTCAGTCGAGAAATACAAAGCTGTTCCGATGGTTTCTCCGTTTCGAGTCTCCTAATCTCAAACAGTCGTTCTCAACCTTTGAGACCCAGGCTGGTAAATAGTATGAGACCAACGAGGGAAGCACGGGTAACTGTTGGATGAAAACCATCCGGGTATGTAGCAGTATGCGTCACTGTGGGAGTACCTCATTACTAGATTCGGCATTCTAGTCTATCATCCTGGGATGTAGGGACCAACCATCCTTGGGAAATGCTAGTCCTTCACCATTGCTGGTGTAGTAGCCTCAAGCTCAAATTGTACCCAGCATTTCGCAAGTATTCATTCCTGTCTGCCGCAACCTTGACGATAATGGTGGCTTTCTCATGTCATTGAGCGCAGATGGAATGTATGGATGAATGTGGGGGAAAAATTGGCATCGACTGGCAATAATGCTCACTTTTGTTAAAACAACTGATGGTGAGAAATCTTGGCTTTCAAGTTCAATCCTCGGAAATCATGTATTCGGGAAATTGGGCACTGGAACGCAATAGTGAAAGTGGACTCTATTCACTTGGATAAGTAATCGGCGACGAATGACAACAAGCCAGACAATAAGCAGATCTTGCAGGCATGAAAGGTATCAGACCCCCTCAGGGGATCATAGGGTCTGGCTGCCAAGCAATGAGCGCTGCCGACATTGAACAATACTGCTCTCCGATGGAGATAGACTTGTATGTCGCAAATTTATCCATCGCCGAAAGGACCAACAGGTCATTGCGTGAGCTCTAATGAGCCACCGAAAAAAGGTGTCTGATGAATCCCAGCTAATGAACTATAGCTGTAACTCATGGGTTCCTCCGATAGATCAACCGAGTGTCATATCAAGCGTCAAGATGCCTTCCCTAGCCACCATAATTTTCGTTGATCTTTCATCTTTCTCATATTCACGACCGATACTACACAAGGTAAACAACAGTAGCTGTACCGACAACCAATAAGTTGAGGACTTCCAAACATGGCCCACTCTCAACAGCAACATTGGGGTCGACCTCAAGCTGGTCGACCTCAAGCTCCTCGACCGCGGTTCAATAGCCTCGGCGTACGTCGCAGCACTGCCTCGACCACGAAGGTTGCTACTACGGCCAAGTCATCCGACAACCGTCTCACTCCTTTGGAAACGTTCCGAGCAATGATCGAGGAGTTAGGACCCAATGACGAGATGCACGCCCTGTGCGACAGATGCGGACGAGTCCTCAAAGTTCTGGTACCAAAAGAATGGATTGGAAGACTAGAAAGAGACAAAGATCGATATCCCCTTCCTTCAAGCCTTACACCTCGATCCTGGGAAGCGTATCTGGGGGATACTCATCTCCGTATCTCTTCACAGGTTTGCCCTGGTAACGTAAATGGGACCTGCCTCACCAAGCGCACTCAAGATGATACAAAGACCTGGGCAGAACTCAAAGCGTTGCCGGGAACATCACCTGAAGTAGATCAGGAATGGCTTCAACTTGACCTTCCGCCAGCTGTGGGATACCTGGCGGCTCCAGACTGGCAAGAAAAACTCCAATCCGCAGTGACCGATGCTTCCAGAAATGATCCCCCAGAGTCCAAGTTGAGCAAGTCCTGGCTCAATTACCTCTACTGGCGATGCGCCTGGCTTTTCTTCTCTCTGCGCAAAGGGGGCCTGCGGCACGAGAACGCCAAACTTGAGAGAATGTGGGGTCAAGTCGATGTGGACATATTGCTCTTGGGATACGGCGTGCTCGAAAAGGCAGACCTGGAGGCTCTATACTGTACAAGTTATTCAACTCTCGCAGGCTTGATATCTTGTAAGTGGTTATACGGGTCAGCCCTACTCAACATGTTTCTTGGGATCAGACGCGATATCGGAAAAGAACAGTTCAACCAGCTCAAGAGGGCTGTCCAGCGAGCTGATACGGCCATGGGGAAATACCTGTTGGCCTGCGTCAACATCAACGTCATGGAGTGGAACGCCCGACGGCGCGCTGCTTTCACTGCGTACATGCAAGTCGAGGAGCACTTGCACCATTACGCTAGTCCTTCGCAACTGAGAGAATTCCTCAAATTACGGCAGTCGCCGCCTCCGCCTTCGGCCGAGTTGTTGAAGGAATCCTTGGCTGAGAAGGGGGCACAAGAGCGGACTATGCTTACCAGAGCCTCGAGACACACTGAGCTCGATGAGGGCGGCAACAGATCGGATTGGGTTCGGAATCGAGCCCAGCTAGCCAGGCCGGTCCCCAATCGATGGCCCGTGTGGGAACCTGCTAGAATTGACAGGCTTCGTGCTCGTTAGATGCGACACTGAGAGCTTGAAGATGCAACACTCAGACGACGCCAGCCACAGCTGATATGTCTTGAGTCGAAGCGGGACGTACATATGTATAGAAAAATGTTTGAAGGATATCGTTTTGGAGGACCACTTCATATAGAGGCGGTCTAGATTTACACGAGGTGGGAATTACTCAGGCAAGAAGGTCCAGCTACCTATGGTTACTGGACTACACAGGTAGCCAGTTGTAGTTGACCTGTATTAATTGCGCACAATCTCTTCTTTATAGTCAAGTTGCTTTCCTCCGGCATTCCGACATCACCCACATGTAGTCAATTCTGCTCCTATGTCCAGAGCTGATCTATAACCAACAGCTACCATGGGTGAAGGAAATTTTGGTTTTCAAACTCCATTCGTAGGGCATGTTGTTGGTGCGTCTGCTCATCGCCGGCCTCTCGAAAACAACACGGCTCAATCTAGTCGGCCGAGAGCCACGTGCACGGTGTCAAACATGAATGAAAGAAGCGAGGCAATCGAAAAGACACGGTCTAGCCAACACGGATCTTGGAAAATGTGACTATGTCAGACCAAGCTGACAGCGGCTAGCAAAGTTGAGGCTGCCGGTCGCCCAGGAAGTGGGAAGTGGGGGAGAGATCTGAAAGAGCGGGGCGGGTCGCTGCCCTGGCGCCGGCGCCGTCGTTCCCCTGGCAACCATCCTCACCCCCGTTGTTTAGCTTCCCACACCTAGCTCGTCCATCGTTACCCGAGAACCTTTCTTAATAACCTGACAACCAACTTCAGGTTCCTTGATTCAAAAACCCTCCAGTGCACTCTTTCTAACCAACAGGGAACATCCGACCTGCTACATCTCCATCCACCATCACATAGCAAGATGGCGACTCGGACGCTGGAATCGCGCTTTGAGCGCATGTCGGTAAACGACGAGAACGAGCCTGTCGATGGCGGCAAGCTCTACTCCAAGACTCAGGTTGGTCTCGTCGACACATGTGTACTTGCCGTGCCATATCATGGCTGACGATTGTCCCGTAGACTTTGGTGAAGACATCACAGCTCTCCCAGAGCTCGAGCAGACCGAACCTCATCAAGGTCGCCCTCCAGTCCCAGAGCACCAACGCCGTCGCCTCGGTAACGCTGCCGTCACAAAACGCACAACGACAGGCCAAGAACCCGGCATCGCCCGCAAGAAAACCCCTGCCGTCCAGCTCCTCGAGAACGTCCGACGAGGTTGTCGAGATCGAGCGCAAGTCTGGCGTCTCCATCGTCATCGAGCCCTCATTGCCCAAGGTCTTCCACCTCGGCATGTTTGAGATTGGCCGGCCCCTGGGCAAGGGTAAGTTCGGCCGCGTGTACCTCGCGAGGGAGCGCACGAGCGGCTTCATCTGCGCCCTCAAGGTCCTGCACAAGAACGAACTCCAACAGGGCCGCGTCGAGAAGCAGGTCCGCCGCGAGATCGAGATCCAGAGCAACCTGCGCCACCCCAACATCCTCCAGCTGTACGGCCACTTCCACGACAGCAAGCGCGTCTTCCTCATCCTCGAGTTCGCCGGCAAGGGCGAGCTGTACAAGCACCTGCGTAAGGAGAGCAGGTTCCCCGAGTGGAAGTCGGCGCAGTACATTGCCCAGATGGCCTCGGCGCTGCGCTACCTGCACCGCAAGCACGTCATTCACCGTGACATCAAGCCCGAGAACATCCTCATGGGCATCCATGGCGAGATCAAGATTTCCGATTTCGGCTGGAGCGTCCACGCCCCCAACAACCGCCGCAACACCATGTGCGGTACCCTCGACTACCTGCCCCCAGAAATGATCAAGCCCGGAAGCTCGGACAACTACTACAACGAGAAGGTTGATCTCTGGAGTTTGGGTGTCTTGACGTATGAATTTCTCGTTGGCGAGGCACCGTTTGAGGACACGCCCGTGATGACGCAGCGGAGGATAGCTCGGGCTGACATGACGGTTCCGTCCTTTGTCAGTCCCGAGGCCAAGGACTTGATCAAGAAGGTGAGGCGGCATTTATCCAAATTTATGATTCACAAAAACGAATGCTAACATTATCCCTAGTTGCTTGTTCTCGACCCCGAGAAGAGAATACCCCTGGAGCAGGTCCAGACCCACCCGTGGATCGTCAAGCACTGTGTGAAGGGCGAGAGAGCCGCCAACCGTGAGAAGAGCTCCTAATTAATGACCCTTATGATTCATGCATACATACCATCAAGGCATAACGGCCCTTGTAGGATTACCGGCGTTTTCTTCTTCTTTGCGGTATTCAGGCGGGCTCTGATCTACAGCTTGGGGTTTTTCGGAGTGGGAAAGGTGTTTCCAATTGCATGTACGGGAGTTGGTGTTCTTAATGTCCATCGTTTTCAGAGTATCAAGAAACCCAAAGAAGCATAGTCATCATCCAAACATTTTGCTATATTTCCCGGTGTTGCCTTCCGTGAGAGTAGGAAGAAATGGTACATCAGTAAAGGGGGTATTGTTTACACGCTCGTTTTGTGAACGAGCCCAATCCTGTCGTCATCGTCCGTCACCTGTAGACCTCGTCAAAGGGCCGCGTATCGCTGAAGCAGGACTCCCAGACCTGGTTCACCACCTTCGTCGCCTGCACATCATCCTTGCACCTGGGTCGGTTGAGGACGGACTGTATCGCGCGCTTCCGCACGCAGTCCTGGAACTGCTGGGACAGGCTCCAGTTGCCTCTTGTAAATGCCTCTCTTGTCCATCTGCACTCGCCGCTGAGCATTGATGCTCGGATCTGCCGCCCCGTCAGTTCAGTTTCTCCCCTTCTCTCCGCCTGTGCTCGGGATCAGCCGGCGCCGGAACGCAGGAACCCTTACCTCTGTACACGCCGCATGCTTCAAATCCAGATCACCCATCCAATCCACCTTCCACCGCAGGTGATCCCACGCGTGCACCATCTCGTGCGAGAGCGTGTCCTCCAAGTGCTTCCGGTCTCTGACCTCGTTGGCGCAGATCATGATGCCGTGGGCGGGGCTGAAGCCGCCCGACTGGCGGTGGACCTCGCCGTCCTCGGTCAGGCGCGCGGGGCACCGGCGGCACTGGATGTTGGACGCGTCGAGGGTGCCGTTGAGGCCGGCGATCTTTTCGTTGAGGAAGCGCACGGTCGGGGAGAAGGCGAGGAGCCAGTCGCGGTGCTCCTCGCAGCGCTTGCAGTCGCGCTCCTCGTTGGCGCGGTACCGTGCCTCGCGGTAGTGGAAGGCGCCTTCGGCTGTCATGCGGCCCGTGAGGATGTTGAAGTAGTTCATCCACCACTTTGTCTGCGGGTCGAAGCCGGTGCGGGCGGGGTCGTTGGTGAGCTCGCGCGGTGGTTGTTTCTGCTGCTGTTGTTGCGCGGGTGGTGATGATGTTGCTGGAGAAGGGGTCGCTGTCGAGGAGGCTGAGGGGCCCAGTGCCGCCGCTTGTTTATCGTCGAGAATTGTCATTTTGGGCGTCGTGTGGGTGAGGAATCAATTGTGCTTCGAGATTTGTCGCTGATTATGGGCGTTTACAACATGAGGATCGGGTGGTGGTTGGCCAAGCATGGAGGTCGTTGCTGGAAGATCGGGAATTTTTGGCCGTTATCGATAAGCCCTTCGATGTGATGGTGGTACTTGGCCAGAGGTACTACTTCATTGATACCTACAACGCAGAGACAATTGTTGCACTCCCTCGTCCCATCATTCCTTGCGATTCAAAAGAGCGCAACATTCCTCCTATGTCATCTCAAAGCTTGTACCTTCTTTGAAGATTTTCATTCAACGATCTCACAAATGACTTTGAGTCAACTACTTGCTACCTGATCCTTTCGAACCATAAATCCGATGTCCTAGCATCTTGCCGGACGTTGTAACGGGCAGACGGCAGATCTACCGAGGGCGCGCCCTGTCCACTCAGTATGCAACGCAACGTGGAAATGACATGACCGGCGATTCAGCTCCTTCTCTCAACCGAGACATAATGGGAATATCACGGGTCGTTTTTAGTAGGCAGGGATAATGGCAACAATGGGCCGGGCCATCAAGACCAACGGTGAAGATGCCCGGTGCACTACGGCATCCACCCCGGATTTTAGGGTCAGAACATCGCCCAATCACAGGCGTCTTTGACAGCCCAACTCCCGGGGCGTTCTCCCGCCTTTCCTCTACACCGGACGATCCCGATGTCGGGCCAGTTTTTTTTACACTTCCACGCCGGCTCAGTCATAGGTTCAGCGGAAGAAAAAAAAGGTACACGCAACCGACGAGTCAAAAGACAACGAAAGGGCGCGGTAAACCGACCAGGGGCCTTGCACACATCACCACATCAGAACCAGGCGGATCCTTTTTTGCGTCCCACAATTAACCAACTCGAAGCAACGGTGCTGGGCTCTGACTCTGGCAATGGCGGAAGCGGGTGGTCCTACGTGTAAGAAAGGGATCCAGTTATTTTTTCTCCCCTCCTACGTAATGCGTCTGGTGCCATTTGTTTGGGCGTCTTCTTGCGTTGATCGTGGCTGTCCCATTCTTGACACTACTTTATTTATACTTATTAGTTGATGTCGTTATCTCTCATTTTGGGTCACGGGCCGGATGACCTTGTGAGATTTGTTTGACTGACTTGAGATACCACCATCTGCAGACATGAAGCACCGCGAGGGCCGGAAACCTCTGACGGTGGTGCTGAAACTTGGTGAGTCTTTCAAAAGTGCTGTATCCTTCAATGATCCAAGTGCTAACTCATCGCACAGGCACCAGCTCTATCGTGGATGAGAAGACACATCAGCCCTTGCTCTCCATCCTGAGTCTTATTGTTGAGACGGCCGTGAAGTTGAGGAAAGATGGCCATAGGGTGGTCATTGTCTCATCTGGCGCCATCGGTGTCGGTCTTCTTCGGATGGAAATGGACAGAAGGCCCAAGCACTTGTCAACACTACAGGTATATTTCCAGACCTCCGGCCCTCGATCTCTGGAGTTGCTCAAGCTTAACAACACTCGCAGGCGTTAGCGGCTATCGGCCAATGTAGACTCATCAGCCTATGGGACGATCTGTTCGGCCACTTCAGACAGCCCGTCGCACAGATTCTGCTCACCAGGAACGACATTGCAGATGTAGGTCAAGATCAGAAACAGACAACTACCGTAGGCAAGCTGCTGACACACATTTGCAGCGGACACGGTACCTCAATGCCCAAAACACATTCAACGAGCTGCTCGATATGGGTGTCATCCCCATCGTCAACGAGAACGACACGCTAGCCGTATCAGAAATCAAGTTTGGCGATAACGACACCCTCTCCGCCATCGCCGCGGGTATGGTCCACGCAGACATGCTGTTCCTCATGACGGACGTAGACTGCCTCTACGACAAGAACCCCAGAACGCACCCCGACGCCCAGGCGATCGAGGTGGTTGAGGACATTTCAAGTATCCAAGCAGACGGTAAGCAAGCGGATGACCATTTCCCTCCCAACCCTCCAAGTAGTGGGAAAGGGAGTGCTTCAGTCTCACCTAAGCTAACCCGACCTTTTTCCCAACTCCAGTCTCAACAGCAGGCTCCGCCCTCGGCACCGGTGGCATGATGACCAAGATCGTCGCCGCAAGGCTAGCAACCCAAGCAGGCGTGACAACCGTCATCACCCGCTCCTCCAACCCGGGCAACATCGTCAAGATCGTCCGCTACGTCCAAGCCCAGCAAAAGTACACCTCCTCCTCTTCCTCACCGCACCTGGGCGCCGCCCCAGACGGCGAGGACCCCGATAACCACCACGACGGTCACGACCACACCGAAGACCCGTTAGCGCAGTCGACGGCCTCCCTCCACATTGACGAAGCCGTCGAGAAGCCTCCGCTGCACACCCGCTTCCTCCCCTCCGCAGACCCCATCCGCGACCGCCACTTCTGGCTCATCCACGGCCTGAAACCCCACGGCACGCTCTACATCGACGCGGGAGCCCACAGCGCCCTCCTCCGCAAAGCAGGCCTCCTCCCCGCGGGCGTCCTCGACGTCGAGGGCAACTTCGCGCAGCAGGAGGCCGTCCGCCTCGTCGTCGTGGACCGCCTCCACGCGGCTAGCACCACCGGGAAGCTGTGGGGCGGCACGCCCGTCGAGGTCGGCCGCGCGCTCGTCAACTACGCCGCGCCGGAGATCATGCGCATCAAGGGACACCAGAGCTCCGATATTGGCGGCCTGCTGGGGTACGCTGACAGCGAGTACGTGGCGGAGAGGCAGCACATTCGCATCTTTGATCGGGAGAGTCGGCCGGTGACGCCGAGTATTGAAAAGATCAAGGAGCAGGTTGTCGAAGAGGTAATTTCAGGTATCACGGGTTATGAGCAGAAGACATAGACAAAATAGTGTTCTTAGTAGACGCTCCGTTACGATCTACTTTTCTCTGTACAAGAGCTATGTCACCATCCCACGCAACGCCCCCCAAAACGCCATAATCGAAGAACCCGCTCCCGGAATCAAAACGCTTGCAATTTTTGATGGTGTATGAGATATCCCCATCCAGTAACGAAAGCTTTGTAAAATACGCATGCCTGATGAATATTCGCATGCAATGATGCCAAGGACTATGTGATGAACACTTTCTTAAGCTTGTCCATGGGGTAGACCTCGCCGGTGCGCAAATCCTTGACCTGGTCTGATGGCAAGCCAGACTTCTTTGCGTAATCCTCGAGGCGCTCCTTGCCGTACGCCCGACTGTTCGGCAGCAGCAGCAGATCGTGCTCGACGTAGCTCTTGGTGTGATGCGCGTAGGGGACGTTGCGGGCAAGATCGTTGAGCTCTGTTGAGCATATTGGGCAAACAGATTGCGTGCCTGCTGTGGCTGAGGCATTCGTTGCCGTATTGGCGTCAGCAGCGACGTGCGATGAGTTCAGAGAATGGCAGGCTGGGGTCTTGAGGGCTGAAAGCCCCGAGGAGAGAGCGATGTGGAGGAGGGGATATGAAGGCAGAGCCAATAGACTGTTGTGGGTGCGGGTAAAGAGGTCGGCGAGGGTGTTCCACCGCTCAGGGCTGTAGAGGTCCGAGTAAACGGCATTGGCAGCCGTTGGTGGATAGGCTAGTAGACCAAAAGCCTTGCGAAGTTCGTCCGGATATGTCGCCTTGAAAGGGACGAGGTATTTCTTCGCGTGAGTGATGGCCTCCAGGAGTTTTGGCTGGGATTGGGTGCGGACAAGCTCGATATACTGCTGGAAGCGAAGCATGAATTCGAGATTACTCTGTTTGCACAAGGTCAGTCAAGATACCAGGCGAGGTTGGGTATACAGCTAGACGCACATCCATCTTGCGAAGCTCCTTCTTGTTATCCTGGCACCAAGCCAGTGCCTCAACCACACTCCCTCCTCTGAGCGATTCTTGGATTCGACTCATCTGGACAAAGGTCTCGACGTCGACCAAATCATCCATGTTCCGCTCAGTTGTGAGTGCCTGCGCACTTTCATTGTAGCCATGACGAAGCAGATAGTCGACGAGCAAGCGGTCGAGGCGGGCGCGGCTCCAAGCCTCGTATTTGACATCGTCAACGGAATGCATGCCGTAGAGATCACCGAGATGGGAGATACGGGCGCCGGTCTGACGGGTCAGACGAGCTTCTTCCTCGGCGTGAGCTGTGAGCTTGCGCTTAACGCCGCGCATGCGGGCGATCATGCTATCCAGATTGCGGAGAACATCGTCGGGGGATGAGTTGCCCTTGACGGAGGCCGTAGCGGTCTCCTTCAGCAGGGTCTTGATGGCTGAAGAGTCCTTCTCGACGGTGAAGTGGGCGGAACGAAAGTTCTTTCGCAGGAGCTCGTACGGGAGGCGGAGGAGGGGTTGATCCTGTCGGTTGGAATGGAGGTTAGTGCGAGAACTGGATAGCTAGCTTCCTGTGACGCAGCGACGTACGAGGAGGAGATGGTCCTGATGCTTGATTGTGGCGTGCTCATGGTCGCCCATCTTGGCGACTTTCACGGACGTGGTAACGAAGTGCCAGACCGTATTTGACTTCGTATTTATGTAGGAGAGGATTCATATGCTGATGTCGTCGTTATGGCTCGAAAAGAAGCGAAAAGGCGTCGGATTCGTTGGAGGCTTGGAGTTGGGAGGTCGGAGCACAGGTGCGCTGGTATGGCCGCTAGCAGCAATTGACGTTATGCCGCCGAACGTGGCGGGGCCGGCAACTTTCCGCAACAGAGCTGGTCTTTCGGGAAGCTACCTTACCTCGCGATACTTAGTGGTGTGTCTAACCTTCCTGACTACTTTAGATTTTCTCAAATGGCTTAGAGATCTTAAAAGTCCGTAATTTTTATTCATCCGTCCTGCTGCTAAGATCTCAACCTCTTGAAGAACGACATTCGTGTCCAAACGCCCACCGGACCATGCTCTGAGCACTCTGCATTCATCAGTGACAGACCCAACATGAACGGCCGATCAGCACAGACCACACATGTGGCTCATGCTTGATTACGTAAAGATTCGGTTGAATTGAGTGTGAGCTCGGTCCAGCCACAACCCCGCTCTCCAAGGCTCGACCCAGCTCAGTTGTCACTTGCTACAACCAGCATCCGTAAGCAAATACGATGTGAGAGCTTGGGCAGACGGTGGCTAGCAACGGTCGAGACTACTTCGAAGCCGGTGTATCTGCTGTGCTTCTCTTCAAAGCGGAATGTCTCACAGTCCATCAGTCAAGTGATTCGTGTTGGCAGCCCATGGGAGCATCAGGTGATTGGTGAGGCTCGGCATTTCGCAACGTAAACTCGAAGAGGACCTCATCCAAGTACACAGTAGATGGGTGTTCGGACTGGGTAGCTGAGGCTAAGGTAGGAGGATAAGCCCACATCTTCAGACCGGTCGAAGCTACCCCTGCAATACTCTTCCTTCCTTGCAGTAGCCTTCCGGTCCATCGCTAACATGAAGACAACGCGTCGAGCCGGCCAACAGTCAGAAAGGCGATAGCGAGCAACAAAGGTCAACCACATTTCCCAGGCTGGGGCGCTGTTGCGGCAGGTGCCCCTCTTCGGAATGCGGATTGGCTCGGGGCAATCGGGGAAGAAGGCACCCACTTGAAAGCGACTGCCAGTGGGTGTGGATTCCCAGCCTTTGATTGGCTTTCGGTCCTTCTTGCCTCAAGAGTCAGGCGCACAACCTCCCTCTCGCTCAAGCGTATTTATCTCCAGCCTCACCCACTTTGCACGTGTTCACCCTTCTCCTTTGCCGCGTGACCAGAGCTTCCCGCCGTCGCTCCCCCCAAACCGATACGCCCAACTCAACCGGCCCCTTTCAGGTCAATACCTCCTCGGAAAATAATAAGATAAACTCAAGCCTTCGCCCAGGCTACGGCAATCCTCAAGAATCGCGATTTTGGAAAAAAATTCGACGCGTTTCCCTGCTCTTCTGTCAACTTTCAACCTCGACTGTTACTGACCAACTACACGGGCTCCATCCGACGAGGCCCCCCCAGCAGCCGCTGGCGCGCGATATCACGAGTTTGATCACGCCGACAACACGTGAACTCCAGCAAAACCCGTGATCTGGCTCACCGCCCAGACCACGCCGCGAAGCACATGATCTAAAGGTATGCGAGCTGTCCCATTTTTCTGACGATCTTCCCGTCTGCCCTATCGTCTCTCATCGCTATCACACTGCACTGCAACGGAGGCACACTTCCGCAGAAAGATTGCTTTTCCTCATTTGCGCCATTTTTGGGGATGCTGTCTTGTTCAAGCGCATCTCGCGATCTGTTGCCCAGCCACAATCAAGCGATTGTGATGGATGAAAAGTCATCATCCGACGGCGAATACATCCTCTAGTCATCCAGGACAATTCTTTTTCCAGCAGACACGACCTGTCAATCCATACAACCAAGCGTCATCTCCTTCTGATGAGCATGGCGTATGCCGATTGAACCATATACTATACCACGACAATCTCAGCCCTCATGTTGAGCCGTCAGTTGCGGTCTCGTCAATGTCAAGCTTTTCCTGCTACCAATCTTTCACGGCATCGAAGAGCAAGCGCTCCAGTATCTGCTCATGAGAAGCGGTCGCTGCTTGAGGACACCACTCAGCTTTGCCATCCGTCACGGCTTACGGAGTGTTTGATGCTTACTCATTTGCCTTGACCTGACCTTTCGTGTTTGCTACTTCATGGTCTCACCACATGCAATCCCGAAATTATTGATGCTAACCAATCTTACATAGTCCCCGCTTCATTCAATTGAATCTAGCTTGAGTCGACGGAAGGATCGTGTCCACTATCCGCAGCTCCGCCTAGTAACCCTCTCTCATTCTCACATTTGAACCCACGGTCTCCCCCAACAACTCTCGACCACAGCAACAATGGCCGACGTCATGAGTGAGCATCCTGACTTGTCGGAGTTGGCCCGCTCTCCTTCTCCCGGCCAGAAACGAAAGCGCGACGACGACTTGTCCGATTCGATGAGTCCTAGCCGAAAGCGTTCCAGTGCTGAAGGACTTTCAGATGTGGACACTGCAGCTTTCATCGAGAATGCTGTCGAGGCTGCCCATGCCGCTGCCCAGAATGGCGTCTCCGCCGCGGACTTCAGCGCCCTGCAACAAGCTGCCGCTGCTGAGCATTCCGAAGCCGCTGATCCGGCCAATGCTTCCAGCACCGCTGCTGCCGCCCTCGGATCCATGTATCCCACCCTTCATGTTCCTCCTACGACAGAGGAGCAGTTTGCTGCACAGTCGAGCAACGATCCGACCCACGGTCAAGACCATGGCTTCGGTCATGCTGACCTGAGCCCGCCGGACGGGCTCCCAGGTCTTCCCCCTGTCCCCCAGCCTACGAATGGCCTTCAGTCTGTGCAACCTCAGCAATCCCACCAACCTCACCAGCATCAACAACCTCCCCCACCTCAGCACCGTTATTCGTCTGGATCAGCTGGCACTCCCGCTAAGAAACCGGACGTCGGCTCTGAGGAGTGGCATAAGATGCGCAAGGACAACCACAAAGAGGGTAAGCAATATCAAAAGAGGATCCCGATGTATATATTGGCTAACTTAAACGTAGTCGAGCGTCGTCGCCGTGAGACAATCAACGAAGGCATCAATGAGCTGGCCAAGATTGTGCCCAATTGCGAGAAGAACAAAGGCTCCATCCTTCAGCGTGCCGTCACATTCATCAATCAACTCAAGGAGAACGAGACGCAAAACATCGAGAAATGGACTCTTGAGAAGCTGCTTACGGAGCAAGCCATAGCAGAGCTTAGTGCCTCTAATGATAAGCTGAAGCAAGAGTGCGAACGTCTCTACAAGGAACTAGAGACTTGGAAACGAGTTGCTCAGAATGCGGGTCTTTCATACCCCCAGGCGAACAAAGAGGAACCGACGAGTACGACCTAGAAGGTCTCAGCTCAAGATCAGACCCCTTATACTGCGGCCAACGTGGAGGTGGCGTTATCTCCTCAGCAGGCTCACATCGATCAGGCGGACCTTCAGCATGAGACTCAGCAGGACCAGCACGATGCCCTTCTGTACGGACCCTCCGCCCTCTTCGTCGACGAGGTCAGCGATGAACATGAACCTCCTCAACATCAGCTTGACATCCCTGAGCACCAAGCCTCCGCCTCTTTCGACCCCTTTCGCCAGCCATGTCCGATTGCCCCTCGTGTGATCTCTCCTCATACGACTCCTCCTAGCGCGATTGCTCCTCCGATTCCTCCCACAAGATCCTATTCGCCTCAATCTTCTGGATTCGCTGCGTCGATCCCACGGGGCATCTGTCAGATCGAGAACCTGGACTCGGACCCTTCTTTTTACTTTTCACCTTATACCCCCAGCCAGCAGTAAGCTGCTTTTTGTTGTTTCCTCAGATTATAAAGCACGGTAGCCGCGGTAGATAGGCTATATCATAATCAACCTTGCTCTCTAACTGTCATGTTTTCTCATACGTATATGGTTTCACCACAGCGTTGAACAAGACCTTGCGTTGGGTTTGTAGGATTTGGGTGTTTATAACAGAGGCGTTATATGGATCACCGAGCCTTTCTGCTTTAGGGCATTAATAAGACACCGGCTCGTTCCATGTGCAAAAATCCAAATTCTGTCTTTTCTGTGGCGTCTATTATCTCGACTAAAACATTGAGACATTTCCGTCGAGGAATCGCCGTAGACCGACTTCCAATGTCCACTACGATACTCCTAGTCGGTTGGAAGAATCTTGCCGGTGCGTAAAGTTTGCACGAGAAACCTCCAAAGCTTTCCAGATTGGCTGAGTGGTAAGAAACGGCGAGAGATGATTTGCTTCACTTTTAAGAATGCGCTTGGAATAAAGAAGCCGTCCATGAGTTGACTGTGTCTTTGTTACAACACCAGGGTATAGATTCTCTTCCCTCTTAGTCTCAAAAGTCGGGCCAGAGAAGACTCGACGCGGCACGGCAAAATCAACAGCCCGTAAACGAATTTGCAGCGAGGGGAACGATGGAGTCTACTTCGACATTGACCAAGACGAGAGTTCACTCAATCAGTATCAGGCTTGGGTTTGCCACCAAATATTCCCCTGACGAATAGCTGAACAAGTCAGTGAGACGGGATTGGAACCGGAGCCGTACTAGCAAGACAAGGCTAGCCCATCAAGTCAATAGACAGAGACGAGCACAGCCATCACATCTGCCGCACAAAGCTAAGCAGGCCATCAAAAAGTGTTGGACAAGAGAGTTGTTCAGCTTGAGTGAGAACTCGCATGCCGCACTTTTCTCACATTCTAGGCTGATACATACATCTGCATCATGTAGGCTTGCTCACCCGCAGAAGCGCAGGAGAAGGCTGTATTCTAAACCCCCGCATTAGCTTTCCAGAGCCCTCCAGTCTGACTGGACGTTTGCCCAAGACGTAGCGTGGCAATCCAACTCCTATTCCTACCCGTTGCGCATACATGACCAATACGGGCTGTCCTTCTTCAAGGAAAAGGCTCTCTCCGCCTTACCATAGCTACGATCAGAAGATGAGCAGCCTACATTGACATCGCTTCCTTCTGACTAGGGGCTCTCGACTTCCGATCACTGCTTGCACGTTGACGAAGCCTCAAACGATTCAGTACTTCGGCAACTGTTCCTGCTCCGGCCGTAAGACGAACGCACGTAATCGGCCATCAAATGCGACGTCCTGCATATAAAATCGCCCTCTTCTTATATGCAATATATGCAGCGGAGGCCTTTTTCGGTATCCTTCCACCTTCCGCTGTCTGACTCGTAAATGGGGAGCCCGGAGAGCCTATACTCCCGACGAAAACAACGAATCCAGTCCCGGGGAGGAGCGGGGAGGAAGGAAAGGGGAAGAGAGAAAAGTTCCCGCGGATTGGGGGCGTGCATAGTGCATGATGCAACAGCACGTCCTTCCCGGCCGTAGCGGAGAGGGGGGGAAGGAGAGATTTAGCGCCGGCTGCCGTCCGGCTGCCGGATCGAGGTCCGGACCTGGGTTCAGGGGTTCTTATGGTCGAGATTGGCGGGATTCTGCAGTGTCACAACTTCCACGCGGTATGCTGTGAGAATGCGGTTTGCTCAAGCAAGGTAAGACGCGGGAGAAAGGAGAGGAGGGGTGGGGGCAGAGCGAGCACGACCGCTTCGGGGATATATCTCTTCGCCTCAGAGGTGGTGACTGCGATGGCAGCGAAAGTGCCGACGAGCCTCGCATAGGAAATTGGCTTTCAACTTGGCGAAACTGAAGCGCGGATGATGAACGAGTTCCCGGGCCCCTTGTCTCTTGTGCAGATTGAACACGCCATGTTTCTTGTCTGCCTTAAGATATCGCTCCGACTGGGCAGTCAACGTCGAGACCATGCCGATGGAGAGAGAAAAGCTGCCCACACTATTTACCCATGATGAACAGCGATTTGCGCCGAGACATTCCCCGGTGAAGATGTCTTGCTGAGATGGAAATAGAAAATCTGTGCTCCGCACAGGGCTGTTTGGAGGAAGTCTCGCCTTGGACCCAGAACCTAGAAATCGGTTTCGTTGGTCAGCAGTGCTCGCTTTTGCCATGTAGATCCATGGAGGCCATCTATCTCGGCGCGCCATACTTTCGCGGATGCGCAACGAAACTCAAAATCAGACGACGAGGTGTTTTCTACTTGTAAACAAACTGCTTTCCTTGACCATAGTCCGCAGTCGTTCTGCGCGTCAAACGCCGACGTTTAATTAAAGGTCTATGAACACATTCGCAATGATGGCATGGGTGTAGTTGTGAGGTGAGTGATCGCGAGTACCCCATGCCTCGACACAACCCTCCCTCCAGGAACATACTTGGTTTTAGCTTCCTCAGCCCTGTTGTCATCTCTACCATACTTCTCAGACGTCAGACTTAAGCAGGCGTGTCTGTGCCAGTGTGGAGAGAAGGAGGAAGAAGACGGGCGCGAAGACGGGAAGGCTGAAAAGAGGGGGGGGGGGTGAGCACATTCTTCTTGGCCACGAGGTGTCTGTACGAAGTACGGATGGAAATGTAAAAAAAGGGGTTCCGAAATGATTTACTCTGCAGCGGGAAGTCAAAATCCTCGGGCCGGGCCAGTAGCTTCCCATCCTCTGACTCTTCTCAAATCATAACCAGCAGACACCCCCCCGGAGCTGGGATAGGGGAAGGGATGAAGAAAAAAAGGACAGAAATCATAATACAGGTCATCTGTCAAGAATCACAGGGGGTGGTGTGCAAAAAGGAGAAGGAGAAATCAAACAGAATTGAACGATATGGGATGGAGGGGCGTGTAGTGATGCTTGAAATGGCGAGCAAGAGAATTACAGGGAAAAAGGCGAGGATCAAAAACCGGCCAACGAACATTGGCCCTTGGAAGAAAGCTCTCGAGGTGTGGTGCGCAAAGGCCGGTGACTGGCCGCCCGGCGACTCCACTTCTTGACCGGTCAGCGGGGCACCGGTGACCGGGGTGCCACTTTTCCTTTTCATCATCTCGCAAAGCCTCACAGCACACCGTAAAGTTTGCGCCGGCCCTCAAAAGTCTCAAACTCACTCCCCCCCTTCGTTGCTCTTTTCCTACCACACCAGAAAGAAGCTTCAAATCACATTTGACACGTCAAAAAAAACTGGATCCCAATTACCGGGATCTGAAGGAAAAGTAGAGTACGCAGCGCTACGGTATTCCCTGTCTAGTGAATAATTTGTCAATTCGTCAAGTTGGGCCCTCACCTTAGCGTCCGTTGTCTGTCAGATTTGCTCCGTAGCTGTCAAGAAAGCTGCAAGCCCGTTGTCAATCCTCCTCCATTCCGACCCCCAGGCCCTACGATCCCTCCTTCATTCCAACCCGTCCCGTCCCGCCCAGGACACCCCACCGTTTGACATTCCCTCCGTCACAGTGACAGCTCCTTCTCATCCCCCCCTGCCACCACGCCAATACACTAGACTGGACCCCTGAAGACAACATCTCTCTCTCTCACACACACAGTGTGGAAGACATCTGTAATATCCTCTATCTCAGCAATTGTGATCAAACGACATACGACGAGGCTAGCCACGACGGGGAAAGCTGCCGATTGGGAGCCTTGCTTGACTAGTGGTGGGTGGTGACAACATCTTGACAGCCCAAAACCAACAAATTTCCCCTGCATCCATAGTTTCTCGCTTGACAGGCACCAGGGTGAGTACCTACCCAAGCTCTTGTGATCTTAGCTCTCTGCCTTCGCAGTTTTAGGTTCTGACGGCGTACGGACACTTCATCTCCTGAGAAGTGAGGAAAACATTCCAGCCCAAAATCACACTAAGACATCACGCACTAAACCCCCTTGGAATGGTTCCACGGGCCAGAGCAGAGCCTCATTGACGTTGGGAGTTCCATGAGGCTGACACGGGCCAAGACAACCCCAGCCGGCGCTAAGAGAGAACGAAGGAAACGGGAAGACGTTTATGGAGAGACGTTCAGCTACTCAATCTACCTAATCTCAACGACATCTTGTCACTCATTACTCTTGCGTCGGGAGTGAAAAGGGGAAGCTCTCGGGCAAACTGCCGTTCCATTACTGACTATCTATAGTTGGACCATAATGTCCAAGCCGGAAAGCCAAAAAAAAAAAAAGGAAATCAAACTCTCGAGGTCCTTCAGATAACTCTTGCTCGTCTCCTCTTCCCAGTCATACCTCCCCAAAAAAGAACATAATGCGGAAAAAAACAAACTCCCGTCATCACATCATGTTAAAATCTTACTTTCTCTCCCTCTGTTCAAGCCATTGATAGCATTTTCTTTTCTGACACCCTTTTCTCCGTCCCCCTGGCACCCATTGCAGCCGTTTCCACGATTTTCAAGAACACTCCCCCATCTCTTCTTCCAAGCGCCTCGTCTGGCATGAAATTCGAAGAAAACAAAAACAAAAAGCAAGAACAACAAACGGCCTAAGCCAGCAAAGTCACAAGAGTAGAGGTAGAAAAGAAGTAACAAAAGAAAACCAGTCGTCCTTCTTGTCGTAGAAGCATCCTCTCCTCCGAGTGAACCTATCCGTATATGCTGATGCTCGGGGTCAATACGAAGATGAAGTAGAAGCAAAAAGACACTGGCAAAAATTTGAACAAAAGGAAACGTGTCTTTCTCTCATGACAGCGTGAATGCCGTGACACGAGTATCGGATAGCCGCCGGGAAGATTGTGTAAAAACCCAAGCCTCGACCTCGTTGTAAATCCAGAAAAAAACTCCAGCAAACCGACACGCTTCATCGCTCTATTAGACGCGACCTCGACCCGTCGTCGTCGTCGTCATCGTCTTTGAAATGACAAATGTTCCCGCCACCCCACCTTGCTTCATATTCTGCTCATGTGGTCTGAAGACTGCTGTCGCCGGCTGCTGCGCTCCGATATGCTTCCGTTGTCAAGTGATTGCTTTTTGACCCGCAGATGATGATACGAAAGTAGAATTGCCGCTCCCTAGGAAAGTGAAAACCAATGGCCGTGCCCATTAAAATCCTGGAAAGCACCTTTCACGCCGTCGTTTGGTTTCTCGTTCTGATGTTCCGATGTACCTAATCCTGTAGCCTTGAGGTTGTGATTGCTGTGTTGGTCGCGCCTAATATTTTGTTGATTTGCTTTGGAAATTGCGGTGGTCGTCGAGTCGAGAGAACGCGCCCAAATCACCCTAAGATCGTGTAGGCCGTTAATGTGTTGCCGCAATGGGCTTTAGTCCTGAGCTGTGCTGTTACTTCCAGCCCCATTTAATATGCGGAAGACTTCATGATGCCTCGTGCTGGCCAAACCATCTGTCCGAGGTTCGCTTCGTCTCAAATCAATGCATTTGTCCTCTTGCGAGTGCTTCCGCCTTCCCGCCCGACCCAGATAATCCGCGTGTGTCGGTAGGCAGGTAATTTGGGAACCCCTGAGAGTTCTGCACCGGCGTTTGACTGGCGCTCACAGGCCGGAAAACCTGATCAAAGCCGCTCCGCGAGATGTTGTCGTACGGTGTGGGAATGTACTGGTTTTGGTTGAGTGGCACACTAGGGTTCGCAAAGTGTCCTTGTCCGGTTCCGGGTTGCTGCGGTGTGAAGGAGTAGACGGAAGCGCCACCAGGTGCTGCTGAGCTCCCTTGCCATGGCTGTGAATAGATCCCGGCATTATTGGTAGTTGAGTACTCCGTAGGTGAAGTATACAGGGACGCGCGACGGTGCGGATCGTGTGTTGTCGGTACCAGGTCTTGAAGTGGCATGCCAGACTGGTGGATGTTGTTGGTTTCCACAAAATGGTGCTCGGGATGCATATTTGAGGAAAGCATCTGTGTCGAGTATTGCTGTTGGCCGCGCATCGGCATGTCGCTCATGTAAGGGCCTCCGTGCAACGGCCCTGTCGGACTATGATCGCTGGTCGAGTTATGCAAGAGATCGTGCGGTGCTCCCGTCTTGGATGGCGATACGCTAGATGTAATTGAGGGATGTTCGTCCTCTTCCTTGACAAAGCCATTGTCTTCATTGTCCGAGGGATAATTCTCTGAGAATTTATCCTCCGACATGACGAAAACCTGAGCATCCCCGTCTAGAACTGTTAGCAGCGAGTCTTTCGGTGTGACAAAGTTTGCGCTTACCAACTTCACCGTTCTTGTACCTCTCCTCCATCTTGGCAACCTTGAAAATCTCATCTAGATACGGCTTCTTCTTGGCATTTGTTTTGTTCTCTTTGTCCGCAAAGAAAGCCGACATTGCTTCCGTCGTCGCTTCCTCGAGCTTTAGAATGCTCAAGTTCATTTTGCGGATGGCCGGGTGTTGCTTCTCAGGTGGTTCCACAATCATTCGAAGTATGTGACACAGAAGGTGGACTCGCTCTGTCCTAATTGTTAGTGGGTACATCTAGAAAGGTACTTGCTAAAAGGAGATATTACCTCGCTTATAGAGATGATCAGGCTCCTTGTGTCTGACCTTCTCTTCTTTCGTAGGTCCCCATGGCTTGGGCCACCAGTCGGGGGCCTTTTCGTCTTGGCCAGTATAGGGGTGATTCGTCTGCTTCTTGGGCTCAACCACCTTGACCCAAGCCTTGGCGATGAGCTTGCAGGCTGTTTGTTGGCAATTTTTGAATCGTTGCTCGTAGAGATTCCACAAGTCCTTCTCGTCGCCGACTTTCAATGTCTTCTTGGAGCTGGATGCAACCACAATCGCAACGTCGTCATCGTCGTTTGTAGGTCTCCGGTAGCCGCCACCCATAGCTGCTCTGTGCCTCTTGCGCGTCTTGTAGCTTCCATCCTCGTCATAGATATCGCCGCCAAGTCGACGACGATCGTGTCGATGCCCATAGCTGCCACCAAATGCTTGTTGATAGCCATCACCATCGAGGCTGAATTCGGAATCATCATGAACAGGGGCGGCAACTGCGTTGTGACGGTTAGTAACTGTATAGTGCGGCACAGTTTGGACAACCCACCAGGACGCACACCACTCCCGTGGTTGACGTTATTCACATGACGAACGAAATTCTTCAAGTTGAAGAATTTGCTGTAAGCGTTGGGTTGTCTTTCCGGCGTATTCATGAACATCTGTGTGGAGCCATCATCCAACACGGCTACCATGAAGAATCTCTTGGCTGGAATGTTGCAGTGATCACGGAGGGCCTTCTCGATATCCTGCTGACAGTAAGTCATCTACGCCAGACGTCGATAGCGTTGCGACTACTCACCATCGGAGGTCTGCGAGCGTCGCGAGCTTCGTGATATCTACCATCCTCGGGGGGTGGATGGTCAATTGGAAACCTTTCAGGGGGCCATTGCCGAGGATAAGGCTCCCGATTGTAGTCGCGGACCATGGCCACGGCACAGTTAGCTCAGAGAGCAAGTCGATAGGAAGAAGAGTGCGTCCACTTGTTAAGGCACGAGAACCGAGTCGCCGTATGAGCGAGTTTTAAGAGGCTATCGTAAGCGATTTTGGTGTGTAACGCTACCGACCAAATGCAGAAGGTGATGGGGCGAATACGATGTGTAACTACGCAATGGTTAGACAACATTGAGGTGCTGATATCTGCATTCGAATATCCTACAATATGTGGTAGAGGGTGGGACTTCTGAGAGATGATTGTTGTGCAACAGAAGTATGTGTGTAGGAAGGGACCATAAAATTCAGACCTCAATGTGATCCCGGCGTGACCAAGCCTAGCACAAGGCAAGATTGTATCGTTTTGGGGGATATTCAAGCCTGATGCCCACGGGATGTTGTTGGGGGTTGGCTGTGATATGTCGAATTGACTGCGCGAGGGTAGATGGAGTAGAGAGCAAGACTCGCCCCGACGTTTGTTGAGCGGGTGGCTCAGTAGATAATCCACAGTCCGGCCGAAGAATACCAGCCAGATCGGGATCCAGAGCAGACCAACAGAATAGGAGCGGGATCCTGCGTCGGATCGTAAGTGTTGGCTAGACAAATAGCTTCCGAGCGTGGATCTTGGTGCAGTGAGATTGCTAGATGCTGCTTCGTGGCTGAAGAGACGAAATTGACGTTCCAAGTGAAAGATACGACAAAGCAGGAGGTTTGTGATCCGTCAGGGGCGTTACGGGGTTTTGGGAGAAAAAGGTCGGCGGAGAGAGCGGGACCGGGTGGTTCAAACAAATCTATCAGTTCGCGAGACTGGGTGCCAGGGCGGACCTCAAAGTCCTCTTTGTTTTCAAGACGGCTTGAGACATCGGGGGGAGAGCCTCTCCACTGGTTCGCGGTTTTGTCTTAGAGCGCAACTCTCCACGCAATGTCTCGGGGAGGGAAGGGTAATGTGTAGTATGGACTGTAGACCAAGAAAAAGGTGATGCTGAGGAGTAGGAAGGGGGGAGAGAGTAAAGCAGCCAACAAGAACGCGTTTGCGATGCTTCCAAGGCCGACACGAGGAAAATGGATACGGCTGTCTTCGGAAGAGAATCAGAGGAGAAGGAAAGAGCCAATGACCACGAACTGGAGCAGTGGAGGGTGATGGCCCTAGATGAGTTCAAGGCTCGCGGGCTGAGGTGGATCTTGGAGGAAGGATGGACCTGCAAGGCGGAGGCGAGTCGAGCTTGTCGACGGGCCCGTACCTCTCGTAATGATCTGAGTTAGGGCTTTTTAGTGTATCTCGATTGTTGCCGTGGTATGTGACAGCCAGCTGAGGAGTGCGGGCGAGAAGCAGTGTCCCGCAAGCGAGGGGGGTTTGAGCAGAGAGGTCGCGCAGACGATTTGAGGTCGAGGGGCAGCGAGACCGGCATCCGCAGTTGTGGAAACATGAACGAGCAGAAAAGTAGGAAGTCAGACCAGGAGGTACCCTGGTCTAGTCAACGTGAGCTTCTACCCTCCTTCAGCTCTTGGCTGGACTGCAAGTTGAAAGAACCAGGGACTGGTGAGCCGCAGTAATATGGAATGGACGTGTCCGTCTGAGTGCCATATGAAAAGGCAAAGAAAAACGGATGAGCACACACGCCTGAAGCAGAACAGCAAGTCTTTCCGGCGCGGGACTGACGACAGTGGAGTAAAGAAGGGGGGCGGGATAGAATAAAAAGGCTTTCTCAGGTAAGCCTTTAGGTGTGGACGTGGTGGAATGTGGTCAGGCAGGGTATCCGTACGGATACTTGTGAAGCTGTGCAAGGGGAGAGAGTATGTAGGACTAGGTAGGTTGACCCTCCACTTTCTTCCCTCCCTGGTCCGCAGGCTGATAAGGTGTGGCAGGCGCCAGCCAGGAGGGAGAGTGTGCTCGAGAGTCAAGAGTTCCCCGTACGGATACACCACCATCCCATCCAATGCCGCAGCTCGACATCCCAACAGGTGGTCTGCAGGAGACCACAGTTCACACTCACCCCTCCCGAGGCAACCCCCCCAGCTCATCCAGGGTGTTTGCACTACTGTGAGCAGACCAAGTCGAGCATGTACTGTACCAGACATGGGCGGTACGCATCTTCGTGCATACATGGCCTGTACCAGACCAAACACAGCCAGATGTGGTCGAACGGAGACCCTAGTCGTAGTCCTCCCGGCCAGAAACCCACCATGTGCTGTCACTGAGTGCGAGGGTTGCGGAGGGCGATCCTCGTAGCCCTGGTCATCCTCCCCAGGCACCCCCGCTGCCAACCGTCTGCAGACTGAGCAAAACTGCTGCAATGGCCCGCAAGTTGAAGGCTCTGATCGGCCAGAGCCCGGAGTATCTGGATTTGCAGATGTCTCTTCATTTCTCTGGTTTCCACTCACCTCAAATAAGTTGACGAGGTTGGACTCTCAACGTGTGAATTTGCGGCAGATGAGGGCAGATTGGCCACGGGGACCACAAGGCGCTGGACAGATTCCATCCTGTGGCAACGATTAGCAACTCGAACACCTGTTTTGTGCGAGATTCGCGAGCCGGTGCCAGATTCGTCGAAGCGTTGACCGCTCTATCCATTCTCAGTTGAACTGAGTAGCCGGCTGTTGCGAGAGGTAAGGACAGATAAAAAAAATCATAATTTGTGTGAGTGCATGAAGGTGTGGGAGACAGCCCATGTCGAAGAGCAGGGGTCGAAGTGAGACAGCGGTGGGCCGGGCTGAACGGCGCATCGGTCGGCAAAAGCCTTGCCAGTTATACGGGTCTCCGTTGATTACATGGCATTGGCTGCATCTCTGGATGGCCATTGCATCATTCGAGCCCGCGCTGTTCGTCTCAGGGCTTTCTTTTCCTCTCGTGATGTTGTTGCACGCTAAATAAGCCTTGAAAGACTTCCTTGAGCACCCGAATTACTTTTGAAAAGCTTCATTAAGTATTGGAATCATCAGGTTACTGATGACATGGAGACTGCAACCCAAGCAAGGAATAACAAATGTCCACATAGACTTTTCGATCCGGAAAGCTAGGACTGCTAGTAAGAAATATCGAACGGTGGGTCGTTGTCGAATGAAGCAGAAAGCGAAAACCATTGGTACAAGTCGTGTTGGACTCAAGACTGAAGGTGCTACACGCGTCCGGATATAACAATGACTATGCTGCCACATCGCCTGTTTCGAGTAATTAAGGCTCTCGACTATTGTACGGCTGGCGTGCTGTCTAACTCTAGCGAGACGACAAAAGCAACTAGAGTGACTCGCGGGTTGTTATGAGTGGCCTTTGGGAAGCTTCGTTCTAGAGATCTGTGAGTTAGGAGGACTGTGCCATCCAAGATCGCCGCTTGGTTACGGATCGAGGTGCCTACATGACAATGACTGTTCAGTCTATCCAACGTAAGTTTCAACCAAGCGCTCTCTTAGCTCAAAGCTCTCTCCAAATATCAATGCCAGGGATTCGGCCGTTCCCTACCAGTAATAGCAATCATCGTCGTTTTGCCATCCCGAAGTCTCGCAGGAACGGAAATGACCCCCAAGTAGCCATGTTGAGTTCGCCGCTAGGCTCGCTATGCCAGCGTGGGTGCGTTTTGTGTGGCTTTCAAAGTGTCATAGTGTTCGTAGCATCCATTTCTAGTGCTTAGGTTCGCCCTTGCTTCTAGACGGGGTTGAGCGGGGGCCTCAGAAGGCAGAGGCCGGTGTATGACTCCGTTGCGTTGACTTGGAGCTTGACGAAAATTTTGACAGTTCAGGGCCACCTGCGGGAAGCGGTACGGCGCGGAAGTTAGTACGTTGGCATGGCAAGCAAACAAATTTTGATGGGGATTCGGTGCCCCATCGGAACATGCGGGGAATGGTTCTCATTCGTCGTTAACCGTGGTAGAATGGTAAGGTGCATGTCCATTCAGACGGTTTGTTTGCTCTTGCCAGGAGAAGGCCGCGGGCAGGGAGAATGGAAGAGGGTCGAGCATGGCTGGTTGCTGCATTGCCAGCAAGAAGGCCACTCCGCTGGCCGTGCTCAATGGGACGTCGTCAGACGGGTGGTTAGGGCATGCTGTAAGGCCGGGGCCGCAAGATGGGATGAAGCCTGCATAGGGAGCGGATCAGAACCAAGCATGGCGCGGTCGGGGATGGGTTCCGAACGGGGGGTGACCTGTTTGGCGTCCTGCCCTGGCGTCCTGTCGCATGCCAGAGGCGTCTGATCCTGGACTGGAGGTGTTTGTAGTTTGTACGTCCGCTTGTGAGATTGTCAGCTCCATCCGGTAGGTATTCAGGCATGCGGAGTAATACTGTACGGATGGCCATGATGGCCAAGATTGACAACTTAGCGTTGCAGTACAGTTGCAGTACAGTTGCGACCGTACGCAGCTAACGGCGAAGAACTGCGAAGCTATCGCCGTAGTTCGTCCAGCGCGGCTGAAGAAATGTCGACGTCAGCGAGGCAAAGGACAAGGCGACGAGGACAAAGGACGGTTGGAAGGGAACGCGGTTATCGTTCAACGGCTCCATTCCAGGGTTCAAGAGGTAGGTATCGATATGTGCTGGAGGCGGCGCAGGAATGCAGTAAACGTTGAAGCCAAGAAACGCATGTTTGCTCCCTCTATGAAGAGGTACAGGGAAAGTGGTTGGTAGGTGGGTGATTAGCAGCGGGCCTGGGCCGGGCTCCCAGAGTGCGCGGAGCAGTGCGTGGGACAAAGGAACGTGGGCAGCGGAAAGTCGGGGTGCAATGTTCCCGCACAGTACCCGTAGGCGATGGCAGGTTGAGCCGACGATGGACTATAGGTACGGAGTACGGAGTAGACTATATTCGTAGGCCGTAGTTTGGAGCCAGAGGCGTCGGTGGGCAAGCTTCGATTGATGCTGAATGGACGGGTGACCGAAGGGGAGGGAGTGTGAGTCGAGAAAAGAAAACTGCTGGAGACCGATCATGAAGTTCGGGTAAAATGGCGGGGATGAGGATTGGACGGAATTAGACTGGACTGGACTGGACTAGATGGAATGCATTGCATTGGGGGGGGAAGCGGCAACGGAGTGGTGATTGACTGACCGTCAGCCAACCTTTGAAGTTTGGCCGCCGCGTTTTCTGGGGACAGGCGGGAACGTCCACTACGTACCTCTTAGGTGCTAAGGTGAGCCGAGAGGTACGTACTATGGGAGCACGTTCCGGGTGGAGACAGGGTGCGGCCGCCCATCTACCTAGGTACTCCACTCATTGGAAAGGACAGGCGCGCCGCACGGAGCTTCGGAGCCAAATACAAAGACCAAAGTATCTCGGAATGCACCACAACTCACCCATGGACCAGTCCACCACTACTGCCCGCTCTCGCACCGTCGTACTGTACCAAGCCGCGAGGTAGGGTAGCGTCCGTACGAACCTTGTCGCCTTGCCGGGATAAGCTATCCGCACCTCCCTCCTTCTTTCTCTCACGTTTTGTTCGCGATTCCGTTCCGTCAGCAGCAGGCATGGGCGCACTGAGCGTTATGTCAGGCCCAGGGAACAGTCTGGCACGCCGCACGCCGTACGCCCCCAGGCCGGACCAGGATTAGAACTGCAAACCAAGACCAAGACCAACGGCTTTCCAACTTCAAGATAGTTCCTCCTCTCTGTGTGGGATTGTTGTTCTAGCATTCGGACGGGAGTGTGGGGGACTCGCACGGCAGACAAACGACGTTAAGTCCGGATTTGTTGCCTGCCTGCACCGTCTATCTGAGGCGTCGGGGATAACTTCATGTCTTGGTAGGGTACCTCAACCAATGAGTAGATTCGGACGGTACATGCTGCATGTGCAGATGCAGATTCGTGCAATCGACAATGCAGTGTGTTTAAGCTTCTCCCCTGAGATCAGCGTCATTCCTCCCTTGAATCATGTTTGGGCGAGCCATTAACCTTGGTGATAGGCACGAGTATCCGTGCTCGCTTCCTAAGACGCTCGAGGAACTTTTGCCAACGCCGACAATAAGCATGAACCGTGGTACCTGCTTAAGCAAATGCGGGTGCAGACTTGGACCCTTTGCTTTCCTCATTCTTTTCGTCCATTCCCGAAAGATTGCTCGGTACTGAAGTATGTACCTATGGTCCGCTAGTTCTTGCCTGCTGCATTGGTGAAAACACTGGGAAATTAATGTTCCCTCCCGCCGGCCTGTGGAAGTTTTCGGTCGGGGTCCACGGCATCGGTACAGGCTTGAAGTAAGGTAGAATATGTGCTAGGAACGGCCCGATCGTCACGCCGGTGGCACCGGCCATCGACCGTCTCTAACCTACTGTTACGGCGAGGTTTATCTCTTATACCCTAGGTCCATCCAATGTCGACTGCGCCTTTTGACAACCCAGGCGGACTCGGACGGACTCGTCTGGCTGCCTGGCAAGAAACGAGAGTTGGGAAAGAAAGAAAAAAAAACTTTGCCCTAGTTTCTTTCGGCCCCGTTTTGAGGGCTATGGGGGCAACGCATGGTCTGATAGTTTGTCATGCCTGTTGCCGAGAGTTCGGCTCCCTCACTGCCTGCATCGACGGCCACATTGAACAGGTTGAGTCCTGCGTGACCACCTCGGCCTCGCACAGTATAGCAAATGGGTCAAATATGTTAGCTAGCCGGTTAGATACCTCATGACCACATGATGGAAGAAAACTTTGCGAACATGAACGTCCCTTGTTACGCATGCTGATCATCCTCGTCTGCCTACAGTTGTTGCATGCTTGCTAGACACAGATACACGAGACTGGATATGGTTGGCATATTGCTTGAAGCTGGTTTTATGACCAAGTCTGGTGCTCTACACAACTTTGCCGACCAGGAATAGGTTGGAAGGGCCCACGATATTTCCAGGGTCCAATTTTCGGCCCAAGATTCAGACTCTCGCCCCGGCTAGGTCCTTGCACAGTTATAGGCTAAGATACCTAGGTCGTGTCTCTTTTTCTTCGGACGGTACTCCGAGACTCTAAGCATGACCAACCCCGAGGTCAGAAACGGAGGGGAAGGAAGTGTTCCATGCCGCCTTTAATGTCCTGATTCTCTTTTTCCCGGATTTCCTTGCCCCAAATGTCAGAAAACTTGCCTTACTAGGTAAGGTAGCTGGTTCCAGTTCAGAGGCAAAGTCGACCCAGACTGGAAGGCATCAAGATGCACTTGTCTTTTCCCGCTTACTTAAGGTCGCAAACTTGGTTAGACTGACGCAGGGAGGAAGGTGCCCTGCCACCAGCGTGCCTTCTCTTCCATGGCTCTCGCTCTTTCCAGGTACCGACTATCACCAACCACAGTTGCCCCCTCTTTGCTCTAAGTACAAGTTCAAAACTCAAGCCGTGTGCAAGACAACGTCTCATTGGCCGCCGAGGTCTCACTTTTCTTTCCAGACAGGATCCGCCTCTTTCCAACTTGATGATTCCGCCAGTACCACCGATATTTCCCACCTAGGTGCATCATCACATCGCGCAGCCTCTCATCATCTTCGTTTGTCCAGCCCGCGCTACTCCTTTCTCATCCCGTCGAGATCCATCACGGGGTCCATGACGAACTTCTCTGCAACACCACTATTTCAATCCCTCGTCTGCGGCATGTCTTACGCCCTAGCGCCTCACTCATCTACGCTTCTCCTTGAGTAGGACCTCCAGCACAGCAAAGTTGGGATGCCCTGTATCCGTAACCGCCCGTCTTGTTCGCCTGAAGCCACATACACTTCCGACTCAGGCACTGTGTATGCATTGAACACCTAGCTTTGCTCTTCAAGAAAGAGGTGATGACACCGTCCATTCTTGGATACATGTGCACCTAATCAAGTCCAGTTACACAGCAGGCTGTCCACGCTCCTGTGCAGAACCAACTCCTTCCTGGAAATGGCGCTGGGAAAGCATTGCTTACGGATTTGAGGTGGTCAGCCGGGGGCCGATCCGACCACTTGACGCGCCCACATTGGCCCATCCATGGTTCGTTCTGCTCGAACACTGCAGCAGTACTCGCACCCATCACCAGCCGACTCACCTGGAACCTACCGCCCTACATTGGAGGGCTCGCTCCGCCTACTTTGTCACATATTGCACTGGCTCGTCTCGAGCGACAGTGTTAAAGCAAGATATCGTCACATCCTATCGATCCAAAACTGCCGGCCTGGACAAACCCACGACTCCACCACGCTAGAGAAGGTCTTGCAGTGCTGCAGCTGCTGCAGCTATGCATGCTCATGCTCCGAGACCACCACCTTCCTTGCGGCCGCCGCCCAGATACTCGTACACTTGCCAGCCAACCATCAATCCCATGGCCACAATGGTCGAAGGCATGTCTGAGGCAATGTGGTTAGTGGGAAAACTCGACGTCTCGGCGTAAAACACGAAACCCCAGCTGCTACAGCCCATCATCGCAAGAAAAAGCAATAAATCCAACGACCACCTGCTGTCTTGCTTGCTTTTTCCTCTGAGACGGCAATAACTCCGCCGAAGAGCGCGCAACGATCGGGTCGTTTGTTTTTCCCGATTCAATGACCTCTGCATTTTGAGCCAAGCAGCCGCTTAGGGCCGGTCGTAGGCTGCGTGGGCTCAATGCTAGTTCAATCTTTTGGTAAAGACTAGTCGTGCTGCTGACGCCCCGATTTCTGGATGGATGACAACACCCATTACAGACAAGCGGCGATGCGTTGATCAAGACCCGCACCAAAAGGATATGTCTCGATCGTATCCGATTTCGGTATTCTCCAGGCGACAAGACACACCTAACATGAAATTGCCCAGACGCCGCAAGTGCCTGTTCCAGTCGATGGGAAGCGTTGGTTATTGCTACGTTGATTGTTGCTAACGCCCCGTCACCGCTAGAGGCCATGCAGGATTGCCGGGTGTTTACCAGCACCTCGCAATGACAAGAAAGTGTGAGTGAACGCCTCGTGGAGCAGGTATGCACGTTTCGACCTCTCTGGTCATCTTCCGCTATTCCGTCTGCACGAAGCGGCCGGCGTGAAGAAAATAGACTATACCACTCCCTTGGGACGGTCGATAGGTCGGTAAAGGCCTGCCTGCCAGCTAGGTCTGGCAGGGAGTACCACACCAAGAGGGGTTACATCAACTATTTGCTAGCTTCATCCTCGGCTTCCCACCATGCGCCCCAGACGGAGTCTCTTGGCATCCTTTACCTGACTGCCTTCTAAATGCTTCGCGACAAACTAAATACCCTCGGAATTGTCGCGACAACATTCGGTGAAAATCGTTGCAGACACATGCTGACTATAGGTCGGTTTCTCAGAGAACTCCAGGCACATCCTGACTCGACACTTCTCAGGTTGGAAATTCGACGGCGACCGCGGCGGGCCCATAGACCAGGCGGACCTCGGAGACAAGGACGACGATACTTTAGGGCCAGGCGCGAGCATACCTACCTACTCAGTAGATTACACAAGGAACGTCGAAGCGGGGTTGTTCCGCACGCCTCAGCCAACTGAATCTCTAACAGACTGGCTGTCAGGATATCATCGCTCCAAATTCCAACAACATCCCCAATCTTTACGCCCCTTTGAAGCTAGGCATGGGGTCTCGGACTTGGATCGAAGCTGTGATTCGTAAAATCGTTGACAATTCCCCTGGCTTCCGTGCCGTGATTGGCCCTCATTACAGGGATCACGGGCGTCCAATTCCGTCACCACCACCGCTGCCAACGGTCACATCACCAAGCCACACACTCATCCAGTTGTTGTGCGGATCAGGGGATGGCCCTGGAGAGTCCCTGGAAGGCCGTTGGCATTCGCACATTTCACACTGGAAGTCCCCGGCTGGCCTCTCCACTTATAACCGTACCTTACCTGCCATTACGGATACAGCCCGGTTCTGACAGCTCACTTCACCTCACAATTGGAGCCATCTCCACCCCCATTCCCTCTTTTTCGTCACCTCACTCAGGGCCTCACAGACGACTTGATGAATGGGCATGGTGGTTGCATCCGATACGTCAACCGATTCTTGCCTGCCGGTTTTCAGCTGTCTACGTTTCTTCCGTA